GGCACACTTGCATGGCGTCCTGTAGGTTGCGCTCTACTTCCGACAGAATTTCTTTGCTGGCTCCTCTGAGGAGGATGGTGCAGGCCTTGGGGTCTTTGCACTCAGTGATGAATGTAAAGTACTCGTCTCCAATTTTCTTGATTTCCAGCAGGCCTGCTCCTGTCCCAACATCATCTTCTCTCAGCTATTCTGGTCGGCTAACTATACGGGCCCCACAGGCTCTAGCAATCCTATTATTGTCTGTTTTCCGAACTCTACGGATGGCTGTGATGTTGGCCCACAAGAGGTAGTGTTGAGCCAAATCTGAAATACCCTTTTCTGTGATGACCACGTCAGGCTTCAACTGGATGATGTCCTCACAGAGCTGCTGAATGTACTCTTCTTCCATCTGGAGGACTCGGGCAAAGTCTTCCTCTCGTGTAATCTCAATGTCAGTCTGGCTTTCTCCTTTCTTGTATTCCAAAGACGAATCCAGCAGTATAATTCAAGGGTTTTTTATATGACGCCTCATTCGTGAATGGGTCACATCCTTGTTAATCATGACGCCACGCAGAACAAACGAGTCTTCAATGATGCCCGCAGGTATCTTTTCCACTTTTGCATATTTCTTGATGTCAATTTCTTTCCGACCATTTTCCTCCAATTGTACAGTCTTCACAGCATCCAGGGCAATATTACAAGCCAAAGAAGACCACTGACTGATTACTTCGGTAGTAATGGAGCTATTGATGATATTTAGCATCATATCATGGTTATTGATGTCAACAGGGGTGCTGATTTTCTTTAGAGTACTGATCATATCATCCAGTGCTTTGCGGTAAGCACTGATCACCACTGTTGGGTGCATCTGCTGTTCCAGAAAGTGCTCAGCCACAGACAACATCTCCCCCGCAAGAATAATTACTGATGTGGTCCCATCTCCAACCTCTTCATCTTGTGTCCTGCTAATTTCAATCATTGACTTGGCTGCTGGATGCTGGACTTGAATCTCTCGAAGAATGGCATTGCCATCATTGGTCATCACGATACCTCCCATTGGATCCAAAAGCATCTTCATCATGGACTTGGGTCCCAAACATGTTCGAATGATATCTGCAATAGTCCTAGCAGCATTGATGTTTCCAGATTGAACTTTTCTTCCAGATTCATGCTTTGTATTCTGGCTGAGCACGAGCACGGGACGGTGGCCCATCATGGCGGCGCGTTGCACAGCCAGGTACCCAGAGGAGAGGGAACCGGCAGAATCTTCTGGAGAGAGAGAGAGAGAGAGAGAGA